CTGATACAAGTCCCTTAAGTTTAAGAGCCATAAGTTTGACATCCTTTGAATCAGGCAATTCTTTCCAATCAAAGCACTCAACCATGCTCAACCAGTCCAAAAATTCTTTTAGGGGAAAAATTTCTATAAAATCTAGGGTGGTCAATTTTAATACCTGAATCAGACTCCGTACGCTCATATCTTCGTGCATCTAGATGTCGATCACGTGATTCTTCCCTATCCTTGCCCCTACGCCAGTCATATCGGCCTCGGGGCTCGACTCTTCATTAGATTTACACTCCCGTCAACACCTTCACGCATCAAGAAAATTTGGATGATCAAACACGTCATCAGCCTGCTCTGTCCCATATTCAAACCCCGCTTCGCACCAATCTCCATCAAGACCCTCACCATAGGATCTATCAACACAATAACCTCTTCGTTTGGGGCAACTTGCTGCCTATCTTTTTCGTGTAGCTACCATGCAACCATCTCCGTCAAGTTGTCGAGCCTTTGGTACAAAACAATATTACCACGGCCATGACTTATACGACCAGCTATTGTAATCGCCAACCATTACTCTAATACCAAATGACGCGACAGAAGACCAAGAAATTAAATCCGGCTTTCTTTTGATAATAAATAAGAAAAATTCAACAATAATAAAAAAAATAAAGTGGTTATAAATCAAACCATAGTGATTAAGAAACTCTATTTCTTTTTTCATAAAATAATTATCTAAACATAAGCCTTTTTCTTGAATACTAAAAATAAAGCTCTAAAAAAGAAAATAATAAAAGTAACTCTCTACCCCTCACCTCTCTCTCTTTACGCTCTGATTACGTGAGCCACTTAAAATTGTCCCCTTAAGATCATGTTTCGCCCTCATATCTCTTAAGTCATGTAACTTTAACAAAAACCTAGGATTCCCATAAATCCGTTCATGAGACTATTAAAGTAGGAGTTACTTTATCCCCACATGAATCTCTCCCCAGTTGTTATAAACTCTCATCCAACTCTAACACCTTCCTTATCTATATCCCCCCACCTATAAATTACACCAAGCGACTCTATTGAAAATATGGAAATGGCTATCCTAACCCCTATTCATTAATTAAATTCCCGTTAGTCCTGCCTTCAATACAAAAATTAGCCAACAAAACAAAAAAAAATTACAACCACGTAAATAAATAAAAGAAGATAAAATTTGACATAAATCAATTTTCTAAATTCAAGTTGCATCACATACGAACTCTCATATAATTAAGATTATAATAAATTATATATTATCCTAAAATATTAGAATATTAGGATGCTATAAAAAAGATGCTTAGAAATAACACGTAAAGGCCCACATTCGAACACATAATTACTTCGAACCAGTGTTTAAAAAAACGCCGAGTCGCCCGGTTCGACTCGGGAATCGCCGCTGACGGTTCGAATCGGTGAAAAAAACAGGAATCGTCCGGTTCTAGAGAGAACCGGACGATTCTGCCTTGCCGATTCACTGTACAGAATCGCCAGTCCGTACAGTGAATCGCGCGAGTCCGTACGGAAGAACAGAATTTTTTTTTTTTTTGGTAATCCATGATAGATTTTTTTGTTATACTTGATCGATTTTTTTGTAATCCATGATCGAATTTTTTGTTTTTTTTTTTTTGTAACCCATGATAGAAGTTTTTGTAATCCATGATCGAATTTTTTGTAATCCATGATCGAATTTTTTGAAAATTTGTGATTTTTTTTTTTTAATCCATGATTGAATTTTTTTTTGTAATCCATGATAGAATTTTTTGAAAATTTGTGATTTTTTTTTTTTAATCCATGATCGATTTTTTTGAAAATTTGTTAATTTTTTTTTTAATCCATATTATTCAAAGAGAAAATGAGAGCGATGATGATTCTGAGGCCACCCTATCCAAGCCATATTATTCACATATCGAGTCCCAACAGCAACAGTGTAGGGATGAGCACGACAGTGTAGGTGAGCATGAAGGATGGACAAGCTTCGGGGATTTTGGATTGGGAACACAACAAAACACTAACACTCAGGGATTTGAGAATAGTCAGACGCCTGCTAATATCGATGATTCGTTTTTAGATCGAATCAATGAATTGTTAAACGAATTCAATCAATGGCACCATCATGACCAAGAAGAACAATAACATCGTCTATCATTTTATTTTTAGATCATATGTTACTAATTTTATGCTTTATTGTAGTTCATGTATGTTGATATACTTATTCCATGACAATTCTATGTTTATCCTTTTGTGTGATGTAAATTAAATGCTGAATGGCGGTTCATGCAGGAAAATAACATATCAATATTCTCATATTCATTCAAAAACATGAAAATTCTTAATGGAGTACCCTCATTTCTTATTGAATTCCTAAAACACAATATTTATAATGAATTTTAATAATTTTTTCAGATTTTTTTTTAAGCTTTATTATGACCGATTCACCCGATTCCCGATCCGGATCGTCGATTCGCCGATCCGGATCGGTTTTATGGGTGCCCGATCCAGGGCACCAATCCGTTTTTTAAACCATTGCTTTGAACCAGTGTTTAAAAAAACGCCAAGTCGAACCGGACTCCCCCGGTTCGACTCAGAAATCGCCATGGTCGGATCGAATCGGCGAAAACAACGGGAATCGTTCGGTTCTAGAGAGAACCGGACGATTCTGTACAGTGACTCGCCGATTAACTGTACGGAATCGGCAAGTCCGTATAGTGAATCGGCGAGTCCTTTACGGAATTTTTTTTTTTTTTTTGTGTAATCCATTATAGATTTTTTTGTAATACTTGATCGATTTTTTTGTAATCCATGATCGAATTGTTTTTTTTTTCTTTTGTAATCCATGATCGAATTTTTTGTTTTTTTTTTTTTGGTTAACCCATGATAGAATTTTTGC